AGAACAGTTCTGCATGAATTAAGTTCTCTCTCTATGCATTTCTGAGCTACACTCTTTCAGTATTCTAGTACGGTCAATCGCCATCTGTCTGTTTTCACCCGTTACAGCGACGTCAACATTGCATTCCTAGTGCTAGCTACCCACCGACCATCTGTATTTCTCTATTCCCACATCCCACCGAACAATAGATTGTGGAACGATTTTTTTTGCCAATTCAATGAACCAAACTAAAGTTTTCAACAGATCTAGTGCCGCATGCGTGCAAGAACTCCATGCTTATTTTGCATCACATCTAATCTTTTTTCAGTCGCAACCGTCTTAATTATCCCTGGCTACATTGTCACACAACCCTACGAAGTGTTCCACTTTGAGTGCATTTCCAAAATCCAAGGATCAGTACCACAAGTACTACTTAGCGGGCAACCAGTTGATGGGGATCCACGGTTCATAGTGATCCGGCCAAGTCCAGAGCGTGTCATTGTCCGTGCACCAAACGGCGTGCCAGACCAAGGAGGACACGTTTTCACGTAAGTCCCTGTTCGTTTTTACTTTCGACTGTTGGTTTCCTGTTGTATGTGTCTCGACTGAATGCAAAACACGCACGCCAGTGCCAGTTCGAATAATGGAATGAAGAAATTTCACTTTATTGAATGGTAAAAAATGGACGGGTTTCCAAATTCCACTAAGCTCGCTTGTTCAGCTAAATGAGAATTCCTAGTCAAGACGCTCTTTCCTCAGAATAAGGTGGAAGACCGATCCAATTCTGCGCAAAACATGTTTTATAGTGTGCTTCAACTCGGCAACATCCCATGTTATCGTCGCTTCCGTAGGACGAACAACAATACAGCTAAGATAAGGTACAAATGGATAAACTGTGCCTGTAAAGTATCATGAGCGTTTTCCTACTCTGTGCTCACTGGCTCGCACACAGGTTAGTTGATGCGATGCCTAACTGAGGTTGATCGAAGACGGTGCTGAGATCAGCACTCGGCAAAACGTGAATTCATCAAATTTTATATTTTCAGTATCTATAGTTTCGTGGTTGCCTAACTAGCTCCCTTAACCCGGAGCGCAGTCAGAAAGGATTTTCTTCCCTTTTCATACCGAACTGGAGATCAACTGCTCAGCATCCGGGAAGGAGGTTAGGAGAAACAGGTAAAGGAAAATTGAGATCCAGGTAATCTCTCTTTATGGAAGCGGGACAGTTGCCAACTCAGTCATAATTAATGATAAAAACCCTTCTTGGATAGATCTCTCTGGTGTGGAGATCATCTTGTTGCGCTCCTGTCTTAGTTTGCTTCCAAGATTGTTGTGTAACTCAATTATCTCTTTGTAGTTTGAGGTGAACAGTCGTTCACCTCGTATCCTCAGTCAATTGAATTTGGTGAGTTTGTCGCTGAAACTATCATCATGTGTCTCTTATATGTTGTGAACTACCGTTGGAAGGAGTAAGACCTTCGCTGCGGAGTTGTTTATTAGAAAATACCAACTGAACAGTTACAGACGATTGGACAGGGAAGCAAAACTCTCATATGTATCTTGTTTAGAAAAAATTGAATATCCATCCTCTCTTTGAACGCGTCTTCCTGAACTTTCCTGGATATTCATCGACTGTCGCTCAAATCCAAGCAAAAGCTAGAAAGCGAGTCCACAAATCCCGTAATAGACATCATTTTTCAAGAGACTCAACGCGGGTTTACGGGAAAATATACTACTCGCATGCCCCATCAGTAGTATCACCGTTACACTGGTATCCAGGTGAGACTGTGTTTTCAAATACGGTCGGCACATCAGAAACTTATTTAGTGGTTCACACCGTACCTTGAGGGTTCAAGTCTTTCTAGTAAAGACCTACATCAAGCGCTGGTGTTAGCAATAAACTGTAGAAAATTTGCAGGGTTGCCGCTTTCATTGTTTAGTATTTGCCCAATGTAAACTGTAGATTCCAGAAATGAAAGGCATTCTCAGTGACCCTTGAAGTTTGGTTGCTTCTGGAAAGTGTTTGTTCTCTCTTTCGTTATTCAGGTTCCGTAATGTTCCCGTCCATGTTGTTGACTGTTTATCTGTTTTGGTCCTGTTGTCGTGGTGCTCATTGTGTACATGTAGTATATGTCGTAGGAGAATTGCCCCTGATTTCCTTGTAATTTCAAACTAGGTGTGTTGCGAAAGAGGGCCCATCTCGAGAGATTATCGTACGCGTTGAGTCTCCGTGTCCCGAAGGACAATTCAGCTGTCCAAATGGGCAATGCATCCCTACGACTGCGATTTGCGATGGCAGAATAGACTGTCCAGACGGTTCGGATGAAGAACGTGCTTATTGCGGTGAGTACTATGGCTTATTATTGAGAGGTTAACTTTTTCAACTGGTTTGGTTGGAGTATCACAGGTTTCAACATCGTTGGAGATTATCAGACAACGTATATTTCTGCGAGCTACATGAAGTCCCATGAGAAGAATACCATACCCGTCCTCTCTTGTGGCACTGGTGTGGGTGAGCTTTGTTGCCTACATGGCAACTTATTTATGCCTGGCTACTCACAAGTAGGTAGAACTTCTCGTTAGTTATGTATTAGTGGGAACTTTAGAACTCGCATTTACATCACTCTCATTCGAAGGTTCCCCCTCCTGGTGCACTTATTCTGTTGCTTATTCGGTGACCCCTCTTTAGTTCGGACTCGCCGAAATAATCGCGCCAGGGTATGAGGAGGATTGTTCGAACGACAGTGATGCGCACGTAAAACATGGTACCGATGAATTTCGTTCGTGCTATGAATCCACCAACCAATGGGCCAGGTGATGCCAGATCATGTGAAACGGAATACTTGATTGGGTAGCGCTGTTTCCTACCCATTTCAAAACCAGACATGCTGTTTATACTCCGTACTTCGTAACTGAACCGCGTTACCCCGCTCGCATCTGGAAGTTTGCTGATGCAATCGTCTATTGGAAGCCTTGCATATATGTACCTCGGTTTAGATCACGTTGGCTTGAGTTGGCCGATAACTTATGGCATTCAAGAGCAATACTGCATTTGGTCGAACTGACCAGCTGGGAGTCTTCGCTATGCTTTTTCCCCGGATTCCTAATGTTAGTCCGTTGTACGATGAATCGGTGCAAGATCGTATCGTACTGTTCAACAAAAGCATTGCATTCGAGGAAAGATTTTTGTGCCATTTGACGTTTCTTCGAAGGAATGTGGTCATTCATAACAGATTCGGGAAGTGTTCATCAGAGAGTGAAGTTAAAGGTCGAAAGTTTAGTTTGGGTAAATGACTTTCGATTTTGTGCCAAAATCTACTTACCTGTTACAGCTGTAGATCTGCGCGTCATTCCGAGCTATATCTACGTGGAACCTTATCGTCCTATTGAATTTGTTTGCGAGACCAACTTGCCAAGTATCCAACCCATGGTTCGATTTGCTGACGGTCGTACAATCGAGTCAGACTCGAGATTTTTCGTCACTCGGCCAACACCACAGCGTATTGTAGTCCGAGCGGACGCGGGCTTAAGCGGACGAGAGAACAAGACCAGGATCGAGTGAGTTGACGATCCGGGTTTATAACCGTTCTTTTGAAATATCTATTATTCATCAATGTTGTCTGAACAACGAAAAATCTTCATGTTTCTCAGGTTCAATGTATTCCAAACAGCAAGTGTCAGGAACTCAGGAGAATTCTTGCATCATATTCGTACATCTGGTTGTTGCCTGTTTAGGATAAATTGAGGTATTGCGGCATGCTTTCCACCGACACTATCTACAATTGGCATGTGGACTTAGTTGAATTGTGTCTCATCCCTGCTCACTGACGACAGATTGCGGCAGTGATGAGTTTTACGATAGTCGGATCGTTTGCGATGTGAATTTTGGATAAAATGACATCAGAACTGGTTATGTACTGGAGGATTTATAAACGGGAATCATACTAACTTCCCAGTAACGCCTGTGCTTTATTCTCTATTATCGTCAGCTTTGATTGGGATATGTATGGTAATGTCTAATTGCCGGGCTAGTCAGTGATATCTCTTCCTACTAAACTATCTCTCAGCCGTAACACTATTTCGGTGCCTAGCTGCCATGCTACCCGAAGGAAACACTAGGGATGGGATACTGCCAGGTTGCCCAAGCCTAGACAGGGAAAGTCGAGAGGCAGAGATCGGGTTCGAACCACGGTCAGTAAATTCACGCTCTAACCACTTGGTCCATCTCACCCTCCCCCCACTAAACTATACGCCTATATCGTTGGCGTTTGCCCTCACTGTACTTGGTATCAAGATGACAACTCCTTGAAAGATGTATGGAACTTATAGGAAGTGTGAAAATTTTCTTGAAGGTGCAACAGTTTAGAACTACCAGGCTGCGTGACACCTTTGTAGTAGAGATCAGGAGTTTTGTGACTTCCAAGAAAGTAGAAAAACCTTTGCAAACTCTGACATGGAGCTAAGGGAATTCCCGTGCAATATGGCTTTTTCAAAGATGTGTGGCGCATGGCAAATCTCCTCATGTGGACAATTTTCTTTCTCCTGTTAACTTCCAGATGTTACACCACGACTGGTTTACGTCGTGAAGTACTCATACACGTTCACAGTAACTGTTCCTCGAACGAGTATCGCTGTCGAGATGGAACATGCAGACCTAGGGACGATTTCTGCAACGGCAGACCAGACTGCCCAGATGGGTCGGACGAAGACCCACGGTTCTGCAGTGAGTAGATCTATTTTGGCTGTTGAATATACCTAAATGTAAACGTTCGCGCTCGATTTGGTGAGGGGTGGTGAGAGATAAACAGTTGTTCCTGAAGTCTCTTTGATCAGATCCATCATTTTTTAATGCGACAACACGGGGTCAAACGCTACTGTGTATCGAACATGTAGCAGTTTGGTAACACTGTGATTGGGTTCGATCCGATGGAATGTAAATTCTGTGAAACATTTTCGTAACATGATCTCGCTTTTTTATGCGCAGCTCGACGACTTTGTGATGACAGAATACTTTCAGAATATTGATAATGTAGTCTACCCTCCTACTGATAATGGAGAATAAAAATCTGTAAACCTAATGCACTACTTGTTAGGCTGCTGAAAGCTCTTCGACCACATATGAGTAGTACATCAACGTTCATACCGTGTATCATGACATCTTGAATATCGTCCCAGCTGAGACATGGGGTGGCCTGGTGCAGTACATTCGGTTGCTTGAAAACATCATAAACGAGAGATTCAGTTGGGTTTCGGATGACACACAAATGAGTGTAGTTCGCTAATCAAAAATTTACTAGTGCGCTCATTTGCATACCAGTTTGGTTTTAACGGGTGACTCACCTGGAGCCGGGCTGATGCCCTCGTTTATGTCATTCTTCTCAACCGAATGTGCTGCACCAGGCCGCCTCTTTGGCACGATATTCGAGACATCGCGATACATTTTATAAATCTAATGCACTACTAATAAGATCGAACAGTTTTCAGCAACCTTATGAGTAGAGTATTACGTCTAATCACAAATCTAATTTCGATGCTCAGCGTTGGCAGTCGTGTTGAGTGTGGCAGAACTGTTAAACGCTACAGTGTGAACGTCTGATAATGGATGCCACACAAACTGTAACTCTGACCACGAGGACAAGCTGAGTTTATCCGTTGATCAATTTGCAGTAAACCTGAGCTTCGGGGTTCATTCACAATGCGCAGAGAACTTTTGAACTTTTGACCCGATAGTGCTAATTAATTGTCACCTCGGTGAACATTAGACGCCGGCCCATCTTCGAGAAATTTCAGAAAGCTATTTTCGGACCGTTCCACTCGTCATCCTCAGAAAGCGTCAAGAAATCAAAGTGTCTCGCATTTTGATCACAGGAACTTCGTTTAACGTAGCATTTTGTTTGGTTAGTTGATCAGGTGGCTGTTGATCTGTTCGCTAAGCTTGCAGAAGAGACATCATCAGCGCACTGCTGGGTGGGGTGTCTTAGGCTACGCTTCCACTCATTAAAAACCGAATAATATCATCTCTCCACTGTGGTATATAATTGAATTCAAATTTAATTTCAATGCTCCAAAAATTAGGGAGAACTGTTTTACCTGGTGATATGCAGCAAGCGCTTCTTGTCTACACAAACTTGAAGTGACGGTGTGACCTCACCTGATGATGAAATGAGCGCAAATTTATTTGAACGAAAAGATACCAGTAGCTTTACAGTGCGCTAATTTTTAGGCGTCAGGGGAGCTTGTCCAGTGCTTTGAGAAAATGCTCACAAACTTCACGTGTTTCAAATAAATCAGAGCGGAAGGCGTTTCGGATGAGTCCCAAGTCTCACGTTCTACACAAAATGCTCGCCAGATTGAGCAAAACTCAAGTGACACTCGAATACGTCCATACATATGCATCTATGCATATATTTCTTTGTATGTGACGCCTTAATTCCAGCCATGCTGTGTGTCCCATTTTATCCTTGCTTTTCTTCAGTCCCTTCTGGGGTTAGAGTCACACCAGACGTCATCAACGTGAGGCCTTACGAACAGTTCACTTACGAATGCACCTCAACTATGCCCGGACTGGCTCCACAAATCACATTCGACGGTATCCCTGTCGAACGCCATCCACAGTTCACCGTTGATCGACCCTCTCGAGAACGGGTCATTGTTCGCGCCATAAACGGACTGCCCTCAGTAGGTGTGCACACGATAAGGTAAGAATTACAAAACGATCAAGTTTATCTATCGCATCTACGATCACTGTGCGCGACATGTTCCGGTCGAGCTGTTGGGACTGTTGGAGCATGATTATTTTGAATAAGCTTCGACAGGGCTCAGTGTGTAATTAGACTGTATTGAATTTTGCTCTAAACAGAGAGAATCACGTGACAGTTGATACTTGTTTGGGGACCTGACGAAGACTGACAGTCAACCTCTTTACAAGGCAGTGAAGGATGTTTGAAAGCTGGCACATATGTTCAGCCAATCAAATTAATGAAAAGGCCTGGTTTATTTGGGGGTCGTCATAGATCAGGGGGTCTGAGAAAGACAGTTGAAAAGGCGTAATGTACACCAGGATGCCTGCAAATGGGAAGTCCTCACAATATAAGCTGAACTAGTTAAGGTTCACATTTTGCTTCCATATAAGTGCTTATCAACACGGCAATCAATGAAAGATCTTCATTCGCAGACATGACGTGGTACGAAGGTCGGCATACAGTTGCACGGTGCGTTCTAGCGTTATTCACGTTTCAGTTCAAAAAACCAAAAAATACCTACATCCGAATGAAGTCAGACGAATAGAACCAGTAGCAAAACTCCATCAGAAACGGCGCAGGGCAGACGAACCGGAATTGAATGTGTTGTCGCCTAGAAAACGGTTCCAAATTTGAGATATCGGTGGATTAACCAGTTTAGGCGTGTTCGCTCTGTTCGCTTAACCGAATGGACAAACACATGTGAAGTGAAAGCGACAACCAGTTCAAGGGAGTTAGGATGCGTCCAGACCGAACCCTACGAGTGCGGAGAACGACGCATCACAAAGGTCACAATCGGTCACCACAGGCACGGGTAGCAGATCCATGAGCGGAGCCTACCAAATCGGCATAGTAACGTTCGACCTGCGGGATGGACGTGATCAAGGTGGGAACGTCGCCATTGGCTGAACAGCAGTGAACAGCCCCATGACCACGTTTGCCCAATCAGCCTTCACATATGTTCACGCATTCGCCCTGTAAGTTGGACGGACAGTTCACTGTGCTTTTAATCTTATGCCCTCCTCAAGTCCAGGAGTCTGGCAGGCCCCCGAGACGCGGCTCCACGTCACATTAAAGAGACAACTTAAAAGCTGTTTGCTCCCATTTCTTCCAACGTCTCCAGCCAAGTACCGGTCGAGAGTTCCGTTTTGAACAGGCAAACCTGAGGTATTCTCAAGGGCACTCCACCGTAATCAATAAGCTACCACTGCTCACCCAACCGGATTGTCGGTGAAAAAATTGACGTTCGTCCGAGGATAAATTAAGGGTTCAGGTAGATAATCATTGGTAAGAATTTTCGTGTGGATTACCGGCGGGGAAAACCGCCATCAGCAGGATGTGTCCTCATTGCGGGATGATTGCGGCAATTCCTTCAGTTGTATGAACATAGATACTGCTGTTTTACCTGGGTCGGATAAAACTAACTGTGAACTTACCGATCTCAATGGGATTAGCTGATTTGGCAAAAAGTAATTTGATATGACGTGTAGATGCATGAATTTCGTGCTGAATTTTCACCAGATAATATACAACTTTGCTTTATCAGATGTTCTGTTGCCCCTGGTCCATCTAAAGACGTACAAGTCATCGTTCGGAGCGACTGTGGACCAGGTGAATTCAGGTGCAAAGACGGTGAGTGTATACCACGTGGGTACTTATGCAATGGACGTCGAGACTGTGCCGATGGCTCGGATGAATCTCGTGAGCAATGCGGTGAGTGGGAAAAAACTAGAGTTAGAAACAACTTTGACAATTCTCGAATAACAGCCCACTTTCAAGCAATATAAAAGCGGCGCGCAGTATTGAATTTTCGAAGACTATGCTGTGTTCCTGATGGACTAAAGCAATCGAGCAGTTGAGTTCAGAGTACCAGTCCAAACTTTCGAGCCACATTTAGGCATCCCAGGGTCCCAGCTATGCTGGGAAATTATTCCACCAGACTTTTCCGCCAAAGTTTGATTGCTTCGGTGGACAACGAAATTTAGTGAGCTGCCGAAATATGAACGTAGATTAGGATGGTTTTTGGTTCGAGCACATGCGCGTGAAGACTTAACAGCTAAGAGCATTGTACGGTTAATGAACCCCCACAAAAGCAAATGATCCTGATCCACCCTTCCAACTTTAAGCCATTTCTTTGGACTATGCTTTGTGATTCTTCCTTTTAACATGTTTCCAACACGGTCGTATCTCTTTGTAAACTCCTGCTAAGGACACTGGGTTGAAGATCGTACCGAGAAGGTGTCATCTGCTTGTGATCGACTCTCCGCATTTGTGAGAATGGATTGTTTATCTAAACCTCTCAGTAAACAATGGTGATTTCCTCCTACCAGTGAAGCCGGTTTATATGGAAAAGCCGAGAAACACTGTGCAGATGTTTCATCCCTATTGGGAATCATCAGAACGGCACATCTCACGAAACTCCAACAGGATGGGGGGGGGGTTGAATTCGTGACCCCTCGTCTAGTTGTTGAACACTTTATCGTTCAATCACGAGCGGGTGATCAGCATTGAGATTGATTCGCACTGAGACTGGACGGAACGCTACTCACCCTTCAAATAGGTTTCTCGTGTCGCGTTGTACAATGAAATCCCAAAAGTAAGTAGCAGAAAATACCTCCAATAGGGGAAAAGAACGTGGCTGTTTTTCGAAATTATTGTAACTATCGAGGTCTTGAAATCGTACGAGAACTAACATTAACCTTAGCGAGATACACTCATTTGCAAACCAATTTGGTTTTGCGAGAGACTCACCTGGAACCCAGCTGAATCTCTCGTTTGTGATGTTTCCAGGCAACTGAATGTGCTGCACCAGGCCGCCTCATATTTCAGTCACTACGATATTCGAGATATCGCGATGCATGTATATTCGTAATGCACTACTCATACGGTTGTTGAAAACTCGGGGACTGTGCCTACCTGATGAGCCCCAAAAAGGGCGGAACCGGTCGTGGGCTGTCGGCGAATTTTCAGCAACCTCATGAGTAATGCATTACGAATAACATTAACCTTATCCGAGTTCACCATTCACGTATAAAGTGAAACAGTGAAGTCTCAGGCAGCTTCGCAGGCTGTTTGCAATTTATCTGTGTTCTGGAGCACTGACAAACTTGGTCAAAACCAGTTGGTTGTTCAGATTTATCTAATTCCTGCCCTAAATACCATTTTTCACTTTATTTGTGTAGAGTTATCCATTTCTGACCACTTTTGTGACTGCTGACCATATCATGCACTGATATTTTCCTTAGATCGGTTTAACGGACAACATGTAACCACTAGCCAGCGCCCATTTGACCTTTGAAACTGAATCTACTAACAGCCTAATTCGATGCATAACAGTACATTCTCTGCTCGTTAGTTTGTTCGCTGTTGTTGGCCAGACAACCAACCCATCGCTATGCGTCACTACCCGTCCTAACAACGACTGATGATGTCACCTCGATTGGTGATGAAACCGTCCAGCTCAGCGAACAAACCAACAACCGTCTACGCTACCTGAGCTACCAACATTTTTTTATATAGTTCCTTCTCTTTGCACTCCTGAAACTCGGTTTTTAAGGATTTGCGAAGCGAGTATTAATTCCCAGCTGTTCCGATTCGGTTCAATTTCGCCTCTGTTTCTTGTCTGCTCTATCCCATACATTGGCAGTCCAACAGATGTCCACTGTGGGATTTTGGTAAAAATATGTGATTTTGCCTGATGAGCAACTCTCACACATCACGGGTTTCGAAATAGGATGTCCATAAATAACTGATAATAAATAGTAGTAATGGTAATACCACATAGTAATCCGCAATAAGTAATACAGTCATGGACGTTGCTTTGGAACTCCTCTTTGCTTTGAACCCGATGGGCAGCAATATTGGGCTGGTAGGTAGCGAATAGAAGCAAACATACTCTGTCTATACCACGTTGAATAAGCATTATGTTCCATATCCATCCACAGGTGACCTTCCACAACCCGAAGGTGGCGTTCAGCTGACACCCACAGAGATCCGAATCCAGCCAGGACGTCGTGTACGTCTGGAATGCCGTACCGATCGACCGGGGCCAGATCTGCAAGTTCGCTTTGAAGACGGACGTCCAGTTGAATCTGATCGACGATTCGTTCTTTCTCGTCCATATCCTGGTTACGTGATCATTGAAGTACCCGGAGGATTTGATGCATCCACGCGCCGCGTGGTGTTAGAGTGAGTTGGGAAAGGATGTGTGTCTGCGAGTTGGGCCAGCTCAGGTGTTCAATTAAACGAAAAAATCTACTTCATTCTATAGACCTAATACACTACTCACAAGGTTGCTGAAAACTCTTCCACAGTCCGTGACCAGTTTCGCCCTTCCTGAGGCTCATCAGGTAGGCATAGTCCCAGATTTTCCGCCAACCTTATGTCTTGTTCGAACCCAACTTGCAGGAAACTCAACTTCTACACTTATCTGCATAGCAATATCGTTTTGATGGGTGGCTTACTTGGAACATCCTAAACGAGAGATTCAGCTGGGATCCAGGTGAGTCTCGCGTGAAAACGAAATCGATATGCAGATAAGTGTAGAATTCGAGTTACTTCATCCCAGCTTTTGCCACTTTGCTGTTTAGTGTGACGTGCAACTTGCCCGGAGATCATTGAAGTTATTGATCTACGTAAAATGGTCTCTCTCACAAACTTCGATGGTTCTTCTGCCGGGTCGGCCTGATGATGTAGAGTTTAATGGATCTCCTGGTTCTCATAACCCGAAAGGGGTGGTTCGAATTTTCGAGTCAACAACATAGCTGATAATTCCAATGTGGTTCGAATGTGACTTTTGTGAGAAATCAACAAGCGCACAAGTGTTCACCATCTTTAGCAATTTCTGATGCAATCCGTCATTCTCATTCCAAATGGTTGTCTCTGCGGAGCCCGTATATTTTCATTCCTGACTCCCGAGTACAGACGAAACACTCGGCACCGTGCCGCACTAATTCGTAAGACAACCGGATTTCAACGTTCCTTCTGCAGAATTTGTAGACTTCGTGGTTCGGGCAGTTCTCTTTCCGCCCGGATCTAGTTGACACCAAGGTAGAGAATCACTGGACTCGATTTACACCCTCATTAGAGCTCATCACTTGTGGATGCCCTTGACCGTGCCAGGGTTGAAGCTCTGTTCAAGTCTCGAGAGACGAACACGTTCACACTTGATCGGCTTGCCCGAAGCCTAGAATGACACAACCACGACAGTTGCTGGGTTGATGTCCTCTCACCTTAGTGTAAACTAACCGGTACTTGCGTCAGGGCACAAACTTTGCTTACAACTGTCACGGTAACAGTGAAACGTTTCCTAATTCCTGGGTTGAATGAGGCCACGTCAACGCACCGTGCGGACAGTTTAAACCGCATTTATCGATATACTTTACTAGGATCAACCTTTGAGGCGTCAGTTTCCTTAAGCCGGACTCTCGACAAGCCCATTCAACTCTTTCGTTTTTCACCAAGCATTTGTGCACTTTTCTGTTCAGATGTATCGGACCAACTGGGGACAAGAAAACATCTGTTATCTATATTGACACAAGTTGCCAACCCGGTCAGAGACGATGTCCCGGTGGGGACTGCATTTTTGTCGGACAATTCTGTGACGGCATACCGCATTGTCCGGACGGGTATGACGAGAGGCCAGAAAATTGTGGTAAGCCAAACCCTTGACAATAAAGGAAGAATTTCCCGACAGGTCACCAATGAAGTGGTTCTTGACCGTGTGTAGATTTTCGTTTTTAGAATCACAAAGTGGCGGGATCCCGGAAGCCGTAGCCATACTGGACTTTCCGTCTTAAAGTGGTCTGATCAAGTTCGCATAGATGGGAGTAGTGACGTGACGGTTAACTTGAAGTTCCAAGTATTATGCGCTTTATGATGATGTGAGGAGACCTGACCAATTGTACGCCTGTCGAACGTCAGTATGCATCTATAGGAGGGGGGCAAGATGGACCAAGTTGTTAGAGCGCGAATTTACTGACCGGAAGGTCCGTGGTTCGAACCCGACCTCTGCTTCTCGACTTCCCCTGTCTAGGCTTGGGCAACTTGGCTGTATGCCAGCCGTCGTGCCTCCTTCGGGTGGCATGGCGGCTAGGCGCCGAAAGGGTGCTACAGCTGAACGATTCCATCTATAGGATTTGCTCTGACGAAGCAGCTGGATGACTACCAAGGTTATGTACTACTCATTCTAAAAAGGCCGAGGATAGTACTTGTTCGGCCAAAAGCTATAGAGGTAAAAGCGATCATATCGGTTGACGTTTATTTACTAAAAAAACGTAAAAACCGCAGGTTCCGGTCTATATTGTCGGTGGTGTGAAGAGATTTGGGAATATTCGATAGAGATCTCTTCCTGCTAATGAAGCTGGAAAGCCAAGAAGCATTGTACAATTGTTTCATTCTTATTCGAAATCATCAGCAGTGCTCACCTGCCGGAACTCTAAGGAGTTTCAAAAACGCAACCTCCTGTGCGCCACGTGATTAGCTCTCACTCAGACAGGGCATAGCGTCACTCATAATTCAATCACGGGATCCACTTCACGTGGTCACACGTGTTGACTGGCTCCTCGGGCAACCACTGCTCACATGAAGGTTTCACCCATCTCATAAAATTATTCTTCCCTCTGAGCTACTCGTAGATGGAGTGGGGAAATTATACTACTCAATTACAATACAAGCAAAAAAGTGCATTCGATGGTGGTTGCTCAACTGCCAAGCCAATTGCCAAGCTCGGCGGACAGATCGACTGCCATCTGATCAACCACCAGTAAACACACCCGAACTACCCATATTTTGACAAATTGATAGAATGCATTCGACTATCGAAAACCAAATTGTCGAGTAGTGCAGAATCGGTCAGTATATTGGAACCGCTTTGACTCTTTGCAATTCGAACTGCAGTTCAGGTGATTTGACTCCTTACCAACGGATACTTCATCCCTCCGTAATCAAGATCAAATGGTCTAAATCATTCTGCCCCACGATTCGGCATTCGCTTCACACCTGCACCGGTGTCTTCGGAGCATTGCCCGAGTCTGGTGCGAACACCGGATCAGCAATGCTGGGGTACGTCGATTAATTTCCGCAAGAAATAACATCCACGATAGATGAGCTTATCACACTCCACTGGTTGCACTGGCTTGGCCAGTATGCCAGTCGACCGAATTCCTCGAGGAGAGAAGGTCAAACAGTGACTCGGCAGCGAAGTATGAGAGTCATTACCAGCAAATTCAGCTGCGCTGGTCATTGACGTCTCCATGGATGGCAAATTCAGCTGCGCTGGTCACTGTCGTCTCCATGGATGGGGACATCAATGGCTAGAGACATTGTCAGACATGGCCCAGTCGCGCCCTCAGTGACGCTCGTGCATCCAAGCGATTGTGTCCACTGCACAGCTCCCTTCCCAATCCCCCACTTAAAAGTCCCCTGACAGACCTGTATTTGCGCATCAATCATATCAGCTCTCGCCTGCAATGCGCAGTTACCCCCACCCCACCCCCACAAATCATCGGTGAACGAAACTGTGGCAGTTATAATCAATGTACAATAAGTACGTGGTTATTTCAGCTGATAATAATAATACGGACGACAATGACGGTCATGATGATGATGATGATGATACTGATGACGATGATGATGATGATGATGCTGATGACGATGATGATGATGCTGATGACGACGACGATGATGATGATGATGATGATGATGATGACGACGACGACGATGATGATGATGATGATGATGATGATGTTGATGATGATGGCGACGATGACGATGCTGATGCTGGTGATGATGATCAAGTTTCTCACCATAATCAGGACTGAAACCAACAGGAACAAAGTCAGTAAGCTTAAGACGTGAATGTTCCAGAAATAAAGCAACTGCTACGGTTATTACACGTTGAGCTCTTGAATGAAGTATTCTGGGATTCAGTTGAATATGCTCCGTGAACTTTGAGTTTTTTCATTCTGCCTGGAGAATGTCGGCTCATGAACANTGATGATCAAGTTTCTCACCATACTCAGGACTGAAACCAACAGGAACAAAGTCAGTAAGCTTAAGACGTGAATGTTCCAGAAATAAAGCAACTGCTACGGTTATTACACGTTGAGCTCTTGAATGAAGTATTCTGGGATTCAGTTGAATATGCTCCGTGAACTTTTAGTTTTTTCATTCTGCAATATCTGCCGGATTCACCTAGATTTTCTTTAGAACTAATTCCCGTGCATGACTGTTCTAAACCTTTTCTAACGTTTTTTAAAACATCGGTACAGATGATCACCCAGCATTTTTACCGTGTACTAATGGACACTGAGCTTGCCATAAAAAGAAAGATTGGGACATACACAGCCCGATACATTTTCGAAAAAAGAGTGTATATAAAGTTTGGCGCCCTCTGACACATTCACTAGTACCTTGCTTATTATTCTGGAAGTTTTACCCTTTTATTTTTCTCGTTTGATTATTTTCATCAGCCCGATACATTTTCGAAAAAAAGTGCATATAAAGTTTGGTGCCCTCTGACACATTTACTAGTACCTTGCTTATTATTCTGACAGTTTTACCTTTTTATTTTTCTCGTTTGATTATTTTCATTTGAAGCCTTGTGCGACCCTATCACCAAGCCATGTGAAGTAGTTGATGGAAAGGAACCGTCTACCAGTCACTATCAGCTGCATTGGAGCTGTGATGGTGAGGACGACTGCGGCAATCGATTTGATGAGCTGGGCTGTCGAAATAGTGAGTCTTTTTACTGACGAATTGCTGCAGCGTAACTGCCTGAGTTAGCCAGCCCAACATGTGGTTCATACGTTAAAATACAAGAGTTGCTTGGAAAGGAATGTCTTTCGGTTGCAATACAGCATGTGGGCGGAGAGAAGTACAGCTGGTGTGCGGATGGCCTTGACTTAATGTGGTTAACAACCTGTTACAAGGTCGAAATCTCTTTGTCTGGTGACTAAAGAATACCCAACAAAACAGTGCATCAAGCACTCGGTTGATGGTAACACAAGATCAATTGGACACAATGTGAGTATCCCGAGCCACGATGACGAGGACAGTTCCCCTAATCATCAGAAAATGTTCGTCTAATCAGTAGCCAGATTCATTGGTGTTTTATTATACCTGGCTGCGGTTCCAATCTCCACGAGCGATTTTGTAGTAACCGCACGATATTTACTCATAATTCAGTACACGTATGCGTAGGTCGTAAACCGTGTCCCATCTTTTTTCGTTCTTTCTTGTGGTGGACTCTCTGGATACTTAATAAGTAGGGTAGAGTCTCTCTTTATTCCATGGTGTTTTTTTACATTCCTTAAACTCCCCTCCCTTAAACCTCAACTACATGTCACTCAATGTTGTCTGTTCGAAATTTCATCCGTCCACAGCTGAGTCCTACCGCTGTGAGACCACCCGAATGACCAAGATCCTGACATCAAATGATTGTCTGGGATACGGCGAAGATAGACAGTCGTCTGGCAATTCGTATCAGACACATATTTATCCGTCCCGAAAATGCCACAAACCTAGTGATAGGTCATAGATAGTTCAGTGATTGAGGCGCAACCTTACTGACTGGGGTTCGAACCCAACACCGATATCTCGAACGCTCCTGTCTAGGTTTAGGCAACCTGGCAATATCTTTACCCTCGTGGTTCTTTCGGGAAACAAAGAAGCTATACATCGAGTGGGTGCCACGGCTAAACGTCTATTTCATTATCACTGTAGGTCCTGGATACCATCTGCTATTTCCGAATTCCTTGCGGTTTAGAGTTGTATGGATCGTCCGGTTGCCCCTTTTTTACTCTCATTTTCACAGTGGAAGTTTTCATCAAATAACTTGTCGCTTTTTCAGAAAGCAAGAGGCCATATTAGCTGACTGCTGCAATGTCCTAACAGGGACTTTTCACCACGATGTTGACACGACCCCCCCCCCTGCCCCTTTTTTACTCTCATTTTCACAGTGGAAGTTTTCATCAAATAACTTGTCGCTTTTTCAGAAAGCAAGAGGCCATATTAGCTGACTGCTGCAATGTCCTAACAGGGAATTTTCACCACGATGTTGACACGACCCCACCCCCGGTAGATTGCGGTTACATACTCCCTCATTCGTCATCTACTGTATCACCTCGAATAAGCATGAAAACAAGGTTGGTTGGTGAATGAATGTCCGATTTCCTGACTGCGTTCGAACACTGTTTATCTGTCCTGATTAGAGTTGGGATAGGATTCGCCTGTGCTGTTTTTGACCAAGCATCAGTTAACCATCCAAAATGAGTGATTTGGCCAAAAGCGAGCCCCAGCATGGGCGGAGGCACACTGAGACTGATTCCAAACTCTACATGATTAGATACCTGAACATGGAGCTATTAATCTTGGACTTCCAAGCTTCTCAGCTGCATACAAATAAGATGTAAAGGTATTCTCGTCAAGATGAGGCTCACAGTTGTGACACATGCCAACTCTCTATTCAGATACACGATCTCTGGATCCTCGGTGCAACTCCACTCACTTCCGCTGTACTTCTGGAAACTTCCAGTACATACCTTATTCATATTGGTGTGATGGGACTCTGGATTGCGCCGGTGGTGAGGACGAACGCGACTGTGGTAAGTTACGCGAAGCCTCTGTGTCGTTCGTTTAACATCTCCATTTACGTACTTCACAGGGATGTCCACTTTGGCCTTTGTAAATTTGGCACCGGTGGCTATTGTATTTTGTTGCTGGGGCCATATTTTGGAGAAACCCAATAATAAAAAATGTGCACTCCGTACACATGGAAAAACCAGTCTATTATTATCTTTGTAATGTACTACTCATAAGTTTGCTGAAAATCCGCCGACATCTCACGACCTGTTTCGCCTTTTTTGAGGCTCATCAGGTAGGCGAAGTCCCAGGGTTTCCGCCAACCTGATGTTCTACTTGAAACCAAATTGCACAACATTAGCGAATATGCACTCATTTGCATTTCTATTACTAGTTACGTGCGAATCGGTAGCTATCTAGCAACCTCACTTTAGGAAAAATCAGCTTCAGGGTGAATCTCTGCGAAAACCCTACCGAAAATTGGCGAACTTTGCCCTCAGTGGTTTGGTTGAACTAGGTTAGTTAATACCAGGTAACCAGTAGATCGGACTGGATCAGACAGATATGGCAACTTCCGGACCTTCGATTGGTTTCGTTCAGAAACGAACATAAATCGAAGATACCCTATCTAGATTTGCGGAGTCGCGCCAAAACGACCATGAGTAGTACTCAGTGATAAGCTGTGCGGTTATCAACACCGTTCCGGTGCGCCGATGGAAAGCTGATACCGCGAACCTTTGGCACATAGGCATCACATGAAGTCAAAGCCCAACCGATGGTGTGAGACGAAATTGCAAATGAGTGTTTTTCTCGAAAACAGTCCAATTTAGGTTCAAGTAGAACGTAAGGTTGACGAAAACTCGGGGAGTGCGCCTAATGATGAGCTCCAAGAAGGGCGAAACCGGTTGTGGGTTGTCGGAGAATTTTCAGCAAACTTGCGAGTAGTTTCCTTTATGAAAATAAGTCTGTTCCAATTAATTTACCAGTTGTGTCAAACAACGGATAGTAGTTCTCAATGTGGAGGTCAAACGTAACCACAGCCCCCCTTCTGTCGGATTACCGCATAGGTACAATGATTCAGGGGCAGATAGCTAATGGAATGGGTATAACGTTTGTCGTAGAAAAGACAGTTTAACGAATGGCGCCGTAGTGATGTGATCAGCAAAACAAGGCAACGAAATTTAGAGTGTAGCTCTCTCGGGTTGTATTTCTTGGAGACTTATCTGGTCAACTGAACAACATTCGAAAGATTATGACTCGGTTAAATGTCCATTTTTAGTGTTCCAGGGCAATTTCAGAGGCTTGCAGATTAAGATGAATTTGCATCACTAACCGCTGCTTCCCTTATTCGCCGACAGCGCGACCAGCCATCATAGATCAAGGCCGCGTGGAGGAGCACCGAGTTCGTCCTGGATCCACCTTGGTTTTAGAGTGCGAAGCTTCCGGAGTACCACCTCCCATGATTATTTGGCGTTTCAACTGGGGTTGTTTGCCCGACTTGGACAGAATGCGTACAGAAGTAGTTCCTAGCAGTCGTGGATGTCGCGGTTCTCGAAGTCGCCTCACGATTCACAATGTGCGTAGCGGAGACGATGGAATCTACAATTGCGAGGCGTTGGTAGCGGGTCATCGGGCAATGTCACAAGATTATCTGGTACTACTGAATGGTTTCTAGGTGTGGAAACCGCTCGTCTAGTTTTATTAGAATTTCTTTCACCGGTTGAAATTTTTGATATTCTCACTTGGGTGTATACATACAGTTGTCATCGATGCGTCATCGACGTGACCGCCAAAACATAAGACTTCTAGCGCTCCTTTCCATTGACAATGTTTTGACGCGATCTATCTGCTTAGTAATCTTTGATTGTCAATACACTGCTAGTTGTTGTTGTGTTTCCGACGATACTGGTCAGCTTGTTCACTTCCTTCTTCCGTTTCTCCCCAATCATTTTCTTGGACTGGTTTTTTGTGTGATATTTCTCGACCACATCTGATCCGCTTCACTAGGTATTCTGTTGATTTATATGGTTTTCGAAAACTATTTAAAATGTGAAATGTGTGTGCTACCTGTTAACGGAATGATCCACATCCAAACTGGTCCCATTTTCTTCATGTACATCTGCCTACTTATGAGTAGTATTTGATGAAATATGTTGATTAGTGTGATTCCACCAAAAATTCAACCCTTAACAGTGCGTCAAAATATGAGTGTTGAGCGTCAAAGTTTATTGATCCTTAAACATGGGTCATAAAGATGGGAGTCACGTTACCCCCTGAAACACCCAGTGCGGGCAACGTTTTAAGGAGTCCTGGTGGGGCCGGTGGCGTAAGTTGCTTTCGGGCCGTGGTGTTTATGAGGAGAAATTATTGCACACGTCTATGAAGTGTGTCTGTCTTGTCGTACATCGTTCTAGGATGTCGAACTGGGATTTCGAATCCAGCAAGTGATACCATTTGCTACGCCCAGTGCCTGTATATCCCGTGTGAGGTGAATGGGTACTGGTTCAAAAGGATTCCATGAACGAACAAACTTCGTGGCCCGCACGTAATCTGTATCATTGATCCGGTAGGTAATCAAATGTTGTAGGAGTTGTTGCGCAAGAATATGCTGCGTTTTCTACCGTTAATCTTGAAACGAATCTAAGAGCTTTGGTTCTCTTAGTTTTCAGTCTAAAAAATCATATTCGCCGTTGATTCCACGGACAAAAGACACCTTAATCGGTGAGATTGTGAGGCGTTCATACAGAACGATGAGAAATGACACGCCTACGCCAAAGTCGAGTACACTTTACATATTTGCCACAAATGACACTCTTGGTTTCGCCATGTTTGTGCAAGAGTTGCGAAACTTTGTCGCCCCCCAATAGTCGCTACTGCAGATAAAATATCCTTTGATGGTTTACAGTTGGTGGAAAATGCGACACGCACAGTGGGACCGAATCCTTCATTCAGATCTTTCCTCGAACGTTGGTTGGGTGTGAGACGTTAGTTTTACTTTGAAGGAGAACTGTATTTCTTACAACCAGTGTTGGTGATGCTCTGCTCTTACTCTCGGTGTTTCCGCCGTTGCGATGACCGTCAGTGTAATAACTTTTGCGTGTCCGTCTCACTATCCCTGATTCCACTGATGAGGTCATTTGATACGCTAAGGAAGCCTAGTAAATCGCATCACAAAAACTGACAAAAGACTTGGAAGCTGATATGTTGAGTGAGCAAAATAAAGAACAACTCCAACATATCGGTCAGTGTCGAGGAAGTTCGGAGCAACCGATTTGCATGCAAGCTGCAGCCTGGAGCTATCACACACATCCTTATCAGACGTCTGCTGTGGTCTACATCGGCCAGTGATTAAAGTCACATTTCTGCCTAGCAGTTTCGTTTCTATTGTCACTTGGAAAATGTTCACAACCGCTGTATAAAATGACATATTAGATGAAGGTTCACAAAACCAGTCCTTTCGTATTTCAGGGGTATCAAAACTGGTCTGGCTACCAACGAGGATAAATGAACTTACACGGTGAGGCAAACCCCTAGGAACAGTCAGAAAGCAGCAATGCGACAGCAAAGTTCAGGGACACTTTGATTACTCGAGACGAGAACTTATCGTAAACGCGTTGATGGCGAGGTTCTAGTGTTTTCCAGTCACATAAAGATTGATCCAAAGCAATGAACATATCTACCCTGGAACTCCGCTTAATCGAAAATATTGAAGCTCTTAGTATAGAAAGAATATAGAGATGACGCATTCTGTTTGCTCCCGTAGGCTACCTCCCTTAAGCCATGGCGGAAAACATCCGATACACTTGATCATGGGACCGTTTAGATGGATAGCAAGCTAACTTGCCCTTATCAACCATCAATCTTTGACCTCAGTTTGCAACAGGCGAGACAATAATTGGTCAATTCTCACGCGCGGTTCTCCAGACTGATCATGTCATCTTATTGGGCACAAAATAGCCCCACTGAAATTGCGCCTTCAGCCTGAGTTACACCAAGATTCCAACAAGAGTGAAGGTTCCGTCGCGCACATTCATTGCTACTGACCCCTAGCTGAAATCTCCGAGAGTTCGCAGCTTCGAACATGGCCTCTAAACCATTTTGAAATAGTTATAGTTTTCATCTGCGCAAAAATTCACCCGCCTGCCACAGATGGAATCAGTGTGACCAATTATCACAACTGCAACCCTTCAACATCTGAAATTGGGCACACACCTACTTCTTTGTGATTTGTTCAGTCGTTTTAGCATACGTTCAGAATAAATACCGAAATGATTGAATTGTCATGACACCGGATGTTTGCACTGGCTAACAGAAAACGACGTCCGTATGTCCATCAATCGTGTCCTGCAATTCATCAACTCGGGTTTCGTTTTTTTCCACATCAAATAAGTTTTGCTTTAAGTGAACAGTATTTTTCGACCAAACTCACGTCTAGACAGCTTATTTAGATAAGTTCCGGGGATATTCTGTAGTGAAATGGAGTTGTAAAAGCGAAACCGACTGGCTTCTCTAACTTATTCACTCATTGAGTAATCAAACCATCATATGTTCTGTTCACCAGTGCATGACAGCTATTCGTAGTTTCCTTCGAACCAAACCAATGTGTTCCATCTGAAGGAACAAAAATTCAGTGTTACCTAAATGCAGAAACGAATGAGTCTGAAGGCAGGGTTACATTGCAAACTTGGTTGAATAAAGTCACAAACCAGAGTTTGTGATCCAAGCCACCACATAGTCACACCAATTAGAACAAAAATGAATGAACTATTTACTATCGGTGATTGTTTCACTGATCCACTTATGCACTGGCGCAGATGCACAAGTTCACATTTCTCCAGGCTTCAAGAACCTCACCTGGCCTACACATCTGTTCTATGCTACGCAACGACTCCCCATAGTTCATCAACTGCAAAACGGGCACAACATTGGGCTCTGTTCGCATGTAGTCGGTCGGTGGTCTGAAAGACAAACAACCACATATGTAGTGAAAACGCTGAACGAAGCAAGCTATTTCCGCAGCTGCGACAAAGCCTGGCCGTGGAATTTCCAGATAGGCGAACGCTCCCCGAACGCATACAATAAGTCACCCGGGCAGTCAAACCGATTTCCAAGACGCGTTAATTAAAAAGACGGTGGTACACTCAACCCAAACAGTTCACCAAACGCCAAGCCCTCTCTTTGAGCCGCTAGCAGGAAGGCCAATGTGGTCTTGTCAAGAGCTACATCCGTTGTCAAGGTCATTTTGTACCACATGTCGCGGTATGTCAGTTACTTCAGTAGTAAAGGATGAGCCACGGCTATCCAACAGTTCATTCGCATCCAAAAAAGTCCCCACTAGACATTGATCATCGTCATATTGGGTTAGAAGAAATGTCCTTTACAAGGCGGGTTATCCACAAAATCATTCCATAGTAAAAATCACCAGCTTTTTCTTCGTAGCCACGTCACCTTCAAGCTAAATACGGTTCAGTTAAAAAGCGGTTAAATGGTGCATCAATGTCATCAGATATGTTGTTGTAGAGAAAAGAGCAAATCCGCTGAGGTTCTATCATTTACGTTTGCATTCTGCTTCGCATTCTTGGATTACGGGAAAGCGGTTCGCATTTCCACCCAGGCCGCTGTAGGTGAATGCAACGCACTTGCTGCCGTCGAAAGCGAATCTCGAGAGAGACGCAGTCCCTGTCCCGGGTTCGATGGGTAGGGAACACTTGTCTGCAAAAGAGGAACGGATGAATGGTTAGCCTGTCGAACTGAACCAAGCCATTTTAAGCTGGATATTCCCCGATGATACGCATGTAACGGTGATGCTACTGATCAGGAGGCAGGCGAGTAGTATGTGTTGTTCGTGGAATTTCGCTATGCGTCTTTTGAAAAGGGGAGATCTGTTGCGGAATTTGTGGAGTCGCTTCGTAACATTTGCTTGGATTTGAGCAATGAATAATTGGAGTCAATGAATATCCAGGAAATTTCAGGAAGACACGTTCAGGAGAAGATGGATGTCCACTTTTTTAATAAGATGAAAATGAGAGTTTTGTTTCCCTGTTCAATGGTCTGTAACTGGTCAGTTGGCGTTTCCTAATGAATAACTCCGCGGCGAAGGCTTACTTCCTTTCATGCGTATTCCCCAGACTAGATCATGTGGCCATGTGATGTGAATTCCACGACCGAAGGAAGAGTGATGCTATATCCTGTCTAAATTTGACCGAATGCACTGCAGGTGAGGCTCTCGTGGCCGAAAGGTTAGGTGCTCAGACTAAAACCGTGAGGCCGCGGTTTCGAAACTCGATATTGGAGTTTCTGGAGATATAAAGTGTTGATTTTTCCCGATAAGAATGAAACACATGTACAATGTTTCACGGCCCAGGAAAGTTCAAGAAGACGCGTTCGGGAGAAGATGGGTGTCCAGTTTTTGTAAATAAGATGCAAATGAGAGTTTTGTTTCCCTGTTCAATGGTCTGTAACTGGTCAGTTGGCGTTTCCTAATGAATAACTCCGCGGCGAAGGCTTCCTTCCTTTCATGCGTATTCCCCAGACTAGATCATGTGGCCATGTGATGTGAATTCCACGACCGAAGGAAGAGTGATGCTATATCCTGTCTAAATTTGACCGAATGCACTGCAGGTGAGGCTCTCGTGGCCGAAAGGTTAGGTGCTCAGACTAAAACCGTGAGGCCGCGGTTTCGAAACTCGATATTGGAGTTTCTGGAGATATAAAGTGTTGATTTTTCCCGATAAGAATGAAACACATGTACAATGTTTCACGGCTTCAGTGGCAGGACGAGATCTCATTTGAAAACTACATATTTCATTTATGCTCTGTAAACTGGTCCGTTTCGAATTCGGAAAAATGCTTCCTTACTTCATGGACCAAGGTCATCCTGCAGAGGCAACTGCTTGAGTGAAAAGCGTACAACAGGGTCAAACTGTCACCTGATCGCCTCTCAGCTGACGTGGGATTCCTAGCATTCTTGTTCGCTATCTAGCCCCAAATCGGTCGGTCGAGTAACTCCCATCCGGCTATCACACCAAATCGGATATTATGTCGTATCAATTGTCAACTATACATATGATGTCGGCAAGAGAAAAATCTCCTGTGAAACAGCGTGAGTCGAACAACTTCGTTGTTTCCAGGAGGACCAGGTGTTGGAACGCCTACAGGTATCAAGGAACTCGTAACAGTCCGTGTGATTTTCCACAGGGCTTTCAAAATTCCTTCGGAAAG